AATTACACAACACAAAAAAAAAAGCTATCAAAACACTTTTGTAAAAAAAAAAAAAGTAAACTTATATGTTTAGATAATTACACATTTCTTTGGCTCCAAACAAAATTCTCATTCTTGTAGGAAAAACACATTTGGAACACCTCTTGACACCACCAACTTTAAGTCCCCATTTCAAAAGGTTTCCGGCCCAGACTCAGAACTGAGTAGTGGTACTGTAAAAGTATTGATGTGTTTACATGGCTCTCACTTTGTTACCTGTAGCGTATAAATGCGACAAAGCATGTTAAAGAAAAAGTTTCATAATGCAGAAGACAATTGCAATCCAAATGTGTAACAGATAAAGAAAACATACCCCTTTTTAAAAGGGAAAATGAATGCAGTGTATTTTCACCGTTTGGAGCATACCTTCATAACCAAAACAGTTAACTTTAAAAGTAGTATTGTCCAAGCTCAGTTAAATAAGTCTGCTAATACAACAAATATATTTTAATATGCAGAGCAGGGGACATGTTCAAGATATTAATGAAGGGACAAGCAGCTCTGTAGTAACAGTTTTGTGTCGAGCATCACTGCATTCACTTTCATATTTATTTTGTGCTAGCTTCCTGCTTTTGGCAGCATAATTCGTCTTTGGGAACCAATACGGTTAATTATAAAACAATGTTAATTTTATGCACACTACACCTATTCAAAACATTTTCAAAACCTGCACTGATATTTACACTCAATTCTAGTAAATGTTACCCATATTAACACCTGTATCTCTTTATAAAATAACCCTTAATTTCCCTTTTTAAGCCTGTGTTATACTTTCCTCGTGCGGGAGTCCGCTAGTGTCCGCTATGGTATGCGTGACGTAAAAATCGTCATCGGAGAGTGTGCGCGGAGGCTCCGCGCGGACATCCGCGTGCCTCACATTTTTTGTGACCGCGCGTCAGTAGGCTACAAAAGCACCAACTGCGCATGCGCAGGCTGTGTGAATAAGCCCGTTGCTACTCGAACATGTACAATCCGTTGATAAAACAAGAAAAAGACAGCCAGATGTGCAATAACTGTGGGCAATTGTTTGTTCACATGTTTGTTTATTGTTCAAGCCGATCTACTGCGTATGTATGGAGCACGTCCGTGGAACGGACCATCAGCGTATGCTTTCGGTAGTATAAATACAAGTAGTCTGCGTCCGCGCCCGGATTGCTCATGCGGAAAGTATAACACAGGCTTTACACACACAATTGAGAGTAAATGAGTAAATAACTAAATGAGACTAATTGAAACATTCTGTACCTGTAAACCTGTGATTTGCAGGCAGATATATAGAATCCTATTTGGAGTGATTAACACTTTGGGAAATATCCTAAAGGATCACATTATGCATTGGCAATCTTATTACAACCATTTGGAGCACAGATCTTATGAACTGTGTCTCACCAATGTTTAATTATCTTGTTTCTTACTCTAACACCTTAATAAATCCTTCTTCTGAATAATTAAGATCCCTCAAATATATTTAATGATAAAGGGAATGGGAGATTGAAATTATTATATTCTTTCCCAAAGCACAATCATCTTACCTTAGGCCATAATGAGGCAGAGCTGAGAGCAGCAGCACTTCAGAATTTTAAATCAGTTTGGCATCTTGTTTAAACAATTGCATGGACTTGCTATCAAACTAATAATTAAAAAAAAAAAAGCTTCAGCAGTTAAGATTGTGATATCAAAAATTGTGTTGAATTGGTTTAACAAAAAAAAAAAAAAAAGAGAAAAATTAAATTGTTTTAACAAAAAAAAAAAAAAAAGAGTAAAATTAGTTTATGATTTAAGCTTTGGCTCCAAATAATAAAGCAAATTTCTGCCAATTTAAGTACACAGCGTGGCTCTCAGCCCTGTATGGCCTCTTTCAGCTCCTGTCTGAGGGGTAAAAGAGGTGGTGAGGTGAGACTGCACAAACGCACACTTACCCCATGCCTCCACGGCTCATGCCCCCTCGCAGGCCACCACCTCCTCGCATCATCCCCCGGTCAAACCCACCCCGGCCACGCCCGCGGTTCTCCCCCCCTCGGCCCTCTCCAGGGCCCCCATATCCTCCAGATTCAGGGCCCGAGTAGCCACCTCCACCCATGCCGTTTTGATGGTCCTGTCTGTAATTACCTGTGAAAGAATATTGTGTCACTAAAGTTGTCACATTTGTATACGACAGTCTTTGCCAAGCTATTACCAGCAGACTTACCATACTGACTGGGTGGTTTATGGTCTGCCTGGCCATAGCCTCCTCCAGTACTGGCCTGCTGTCCGTACTGGCTAGCAGGGGGCTGTCCATAGGACCCAGAGGGTGGGGGGTAGCTGGAAGGCGCAGCCTGTTGCTGTTGGGTTGGAGTTTGTTGATATCCTCCCTGCTGGCTGTAGGAGCTCTGCTGTCCATAGCCTCCTTGTTGGCCCTGGTATCCTCCCTGCTGCTGCTGAGAATAGGAGTTTTGCTGAGGCTGCTGGGAATACGAGCTCTGCTCATATCCAGAGGGCTGCTGGCTGCCAGAACTGTAGCTGCTGAAGGACACAATTTACAATCAGTGACCAATAGATACATAGAAAAACTTTGGGGGACAACGAATAACAGATTAAGCCAAATACCTGGGGGGTGCAGCAGAAGCAGGCTGTTGTCCATAACCAGGATATGCAGACTGGGCACCGTAGCTGGCCTGCCCACTATAAGAGGTCTGGTTATTGCTGGTCGATGAGGCCGCAGTTGTGGAGGAATCGTAGCTGCTGCTTCCATATCCCTGCACAGGCTGACTGTAGCCCTGCGGTGTGGCCGGGGTGGCAGTATAACCACCTACAAAGGGTAAAAATAGTCACTGAATAAATACACCCCTTGGAGATACTGACCTCGATTTGAATACCACAAAAATGGATGAAAAATAAAAAGAACACACCGCTGGCTGGTGGTTGCTGTCCGTAGGATGATCCATATGGCTGCTGGCCATAACTGCTCGAGGAGCTGCCGGTCTGGGAGTAGGTCGAGTCAGCTGGTTGGCTGTATGAACCGTAGCTTTGCTGTTGACCATACGACTGCTATAGAAAGCAAACAGTAAGCCACTCACACCAGGCCCACTTTAACAGCTCCTGTTTTGCACTTATGACAAAAAGCATGGCGAAAATAAAAGAGTTTAAGGTGACCGTTTACCTGAGTGCCCTGTCCATAACCCTGTTGAGAGGGCTGGGCCGCATAGGAGCTGTACCTGATAATAAAAGATGATTTTCTCATTTTATTATAGATAAACAACTGTTATATACAAGATTGCCTCAACTTTTGACCAGCACATTTCCATGACTATACATGAATGTTCTAGCTGTCCATTATTAGTGATTAAGGATAAAGCCATCTCTATAAAGAATTGCAATTAAAAAAAAAAAAAAACACATATAACGTTACAAATATTACACAGTTTTACAACCATACCCCTGTTGGGTTCCAGCCTGTCCGTAACTGTTGTAATCTGCGAGAAAAACACATTAACATTCATTTAAAATATCAAACTCGTTCACAAAAACAAGGATTTTGAATCACAGAAGGTATGTTCATATAAGTTACACTTAAAACGCTTATCTTGGTTCATTCAAAACACAAATGAATAATGTAAAAAAGAAAATACGTGTACAAAAGTATAAAATATGTATATACAGTGGTGTAAAAGAACTGTTTCTCCAGAAGACGATTGAGAGAATGGGTAGGTTTCAACGAACAAGCGCCACACACAAAGTAACACGAGAAAAAAAGGTAACGTTATGTGAATACGTTTTGATACTATTGATTCACACTGTACAGCAGATGTTGAAATGGATGCATTCTGTGATTAATATTTACATGATTATGAATAACACCGTATTATTTTGATACAACACATCTGAATAGTATTTACAACAATCATAGGAGCTGAGCTCGAGTGCTTGTAACAATTAGCCCGCCTCTTAGCTCGAGCGTTGCCGAGCAACAGACCGGCACGTGTGAATTTGTGCTCAAAATGAAATAAGCTGGGTATATATATATTTTATAAAATAATGAAGGTAAATTTGTGTGTTGTCAGCTAAAGGAATAACTTTGATGCGTGTGAAGCAAAGCAAAATGTACAATATCGCAGTTATCGAGTCGACCCCCCTCCCCCATTTTCACACGCAGACAAACGGAACCGGTTCGAACCACACCGGCAAACAAGATAACATAAATATTTAATAGATTCATCGCGTTTTATGGAGTACATCACTTTACCATAACTATAACTGACAACAAAATTTATATCGACATTTATATATATATTTTTAAATCTCTAACATGAAATTGCACAAAAGCTTTAGCGTAGCTCTTACCTGCAGCAGACGCCATTTCGTGTGCCTTTGGTTGCACAAACTGCGCATGCGTGGATGATACTCTTCAGGCGCTACCATTTAATCAAGCGGGGGTGGACATTTATTGCAAACCTTATAATTTCGTGATTATTTGGTATGGAATGCTTAAATTTGTCTGAACGTTAAGTGTTGATGCACTTTGCTTGGTAAAGCACATCATACAGTAAAGACTATTAATATAGCGAAATCAAATATTTCTGTTAATGGATTCGTCCGGAGGATCTACAGAATGACCTACTTAACCGATGCCATTTAAAAAAAAAATAAAGAGGGGTGATGTATGAATGTATGAAAGAAATGCATCACTATAAGCACCACTCTGCACTATTTATATAATAATAGCTTGTTTATGAGAGTCTGAAACACAAACGTTCATTTACAGGAGTGTTGATAAAAAACATACTGCAAACAAAATTGTAATCCCATGTACATCTGTAGGATTGCCAGTTCTTAAACCATGAACACATGTATTAAAACGGAAGTGTTTCATTTTAAATATGAATAAATTATTGTCTTAGAATTCATTTTGAACAAACAAACAAAAAAAATGCTACCCTGGAAAACTGCTTTGCACGCTAAATGCTGTAAATTATGCTTTAATATCACATTGGAAATGATATATTTTTATTTGGCATTGTTCATTGCACAGTGTAGCATTACCCACACCATAGTGTACCTGCAACGTTTTTTTTTCTAAGACCTAGCTAAAGCAAGCAAAAGTACATTTCAGTGTAGCATACAAAACTGTACATTGAAAAATAGTTATGGCACTTTGAAAAGATATGACAGTAAATGCTTATGAAGGTGCAATACCAAATACAAGTCATATCTCTGAAGATAAATATAATAACAGGACTTTGTTGACAATCTTCGAATGACAGCACATGATGGAACCAAAGCTGATAATCCTGCTGCAAATGGGGCTGTCAGGTTAGCGTACCGATCCGATTCCGACCGGGACCACGTTTTGCAGTGCAAGAATGCTAGTTTTTTCTTCTACAACTTCTGGGTCATTGTCCAGTACCCAAAGGTCAGCAGGTCACGATAAGCTACGGGGTCCTGTTCAAAGTGTTGTGGGTTACAGTCAGAGTAACCCATCTTGCTCAAAGACAGAGGGCAACAGGGAGAAGTCAAAGGGGGCAAATTTTACTCCTGTTCCACTGTAGAATTTGTTCTGAAATTCCACCCTGCAAAAAGTAAAAAATAATCTATAAATAGATGGTAGAGAAATACAGATTTTTTTTAATAATATGTTTTAAAATATTTTTTTTTATTTTAAATGTAACTGAAAATATTAATATTATCTTAAAAATTAGGGCTGCACAATGATGATTAAACGGTTAAATCATGAATATTTTGCTAAAAAACACAATCACGATTATTGTAACTTCATCATTTTTTTCCATTTCATCAGAATTTTTGCCCTTTCACATAGGCACAAATCAAGAGAATATCAACTCGCATGCTTTGCTTGCAGATTTAACAGCACAGATGACCGTGTGAAAGAAAAACAGGCTGTATTACATGTTTATTAAAGAAGATTATCTCAATAGACATGGTTAAACTCCAACTTGCATGCTTGCCAGGGTTTTTAGCTCATTAGCGCTTTTTCCCTAAGGTAGACAGCGCACACGTATGCATGGTTGCCAGGTTGGGAGGATTAAGTAAACCACTGGGCAGAAATGTATCAATTTAGCCTCTTTCACACAGAGATTCCGGAAAATGCACTGATAATGAGTCACACTGCTAGTGATTTTCCGGAGTCTGTGTGTGCGTTAAAACGCATCCCGTAAAGACACGTGACATTAGGATGTGGCAGGCAATGTGACATGCACCATTCCACTAAGCTGGCGGACAATCTCAGCTTCAGCGCGGATAGTGAGTGAGGAGCTCCCTGATCTCTGCTTCATTCCAGTTTACACACATATTTTTTACCTTGAACATTGATCTGCCTTCAAAACAACCGTTAAAAGGGTTGCACGATAACGTGCGTCGTCACTACGACACACCCTTTACGGCATTGGTCCTGCCTTTTGTTCACACAGGGCTGGGTTCCAGCACTGATCCCCGCAATGTTACTAGGTCCCCATCCTGGGATCGTTTCCTTGATCAATCCCGGGAAATGTTTGCGTTCACACAGAAGGCACTTTTCTGGGATCAACGCGCTGTGTGAAAGGGGCTTTTAAGAGAAAATCTCTCATTGGGGGATTAAAGCTCTTGACATCTGGCAACCGCAACCATGAGTGCTTGTGGAGGCTTCTTACCAATGCAAGATAATGCAAATCTCAAATTAAAATAAAATGTTTTCAGGATAAATATATAGCGGGCAAATATCGCAGATTATTATGCTTAATAAATCGAAAGAAGCAGAAATCGTGATCATAATTAAAATACGATTCACTGTGCAGACCTACTTCCAATTTAATGTTAAAATATTAAAGGGATAGTTCACCCCAAAATGAAATTCTGTCATTAATTACTCACCCTCATGTCGTTCCAAATCCGTAAGACCTTCGTTCATCTTCAGAACACAAATTAAGATATTTTTGATTAAATGTGAGAGCTCTCAGACCCTGCATAGACAGCAACGCAACTGTAATGTTCCCATTTCCAGAAGCGTAGTAAGGACATCGGTAAAACAGTCCATGTGACATCAATGGCTCAACTTCAATTTTGCGAAGCTACGAGATTACTTTTTGTGCGCAAAGAAAACAAAAATTACGACTTTATTTAACAATTCTTCTCCCCCGAGTTACTGTCTTCCGCCATTTTGGAGAGTATCACAACGCATACGCACGATTTTACCCTAAAATTGTAAACAACGCTGATTACGCCGATTATGTTCATGCGCGTGCTTTCCCCTCCTAACGTAAACAACGCTGATTACGTTCTTGGGTACTCTCCAAAATGGCAGAAAACGTAACTCAGGGGAGAAGAATTGTTGAATAAATTATGATATTTTAGTTTTCTTTGCACTCAAAAAGTATTCTCGTAGCTTCACAAAACTGAAGTTGAGCCACTGATGTCACATGGACTGTTTTACCGATGTCCTTGCTACGTTTCTGTCTGGGAACATTTCAGTTGCGTTGCTGTCTACGGAGGGTCAGAAAGCTCTTGGATTTCATCCAAAATATCTTAATTTGTGTTCCGAAGATGAACGAAGGTCTTACGGGTTTGGAACGACATGGGTCAGAGAGCTCTCAGAATCAATCAAAAATATCTTAATTCGTGTTCCGAAGATGAACGAAGGTCTTACGGGGTTGGAACGACACGAGGGTGAGTAATTAATGACAGAATTTTCATTTTGGGGTGAACTATCCCTTTAAAAAAAGTATTCTGAGAAGAAAAATAAGATAAGTCTCTTCTAGAAGACTTTTTAATTTAATTCCCATTTCTGATAATCAAACCTGGCTGTATCTGAGGCTGTGTGCTCACCAGTGAAGACGCAGCGCATGGAGGAAAGCGGACAGACCCTCCATGACCAAGAGAATGGAGATAGTGAGCAGAGCAAAGACACTGAACACAGGAACAAGGAAAAGCACGCCCAGGCTGGAGCTCATCCTCAGACCCAGACGCATCACCATCGCCCACAGTACCTCTGACAGCTCTGAGATACACACACACACACACACACACAACATATGCATGAATAGTCTAGAAAACAGATTCATATGCCCAGGATGTAATGAATCAGACACTCACGGGCGTGAGCGAGACTCAGGGCCCAGAGACGCAAGTAGGAGGCCGTGTTGGAAATGCAGCCCAAACAGTACTCTATGGTGTGAATTGCTTGATGCAGGAAGATGTCTCCGAAATCAATCTGCCAGTGAACAAACATGCTGTTAGTGACATTCATACAGGACAAATCTGTGTTTTAATGGTGACTGAATATGAGATAGGTCAACTTCAACCTCCCGAGGCCCTCCTGAGTCACTTAGTCCCTCCTCTTCATCATGGACTACAGACGGTGACAGGTCTTCTTCACTCACACGCCGAACTCGTTCGTAGCCCTGCACACAAAGTAATATGATGCAGTATCTTCACCCTTTTTAACCAGTCCATCAAATATCAATGTATCTTTATATATATTTTGCTAAACACACATGCACATCCATCTGAAGACTACATTTTTGTCATTTGGGTCAATCTCGCTAAAGCATGCGGGTCACATATCACACCAAATCATTAAAAACAATAAACAGTATTTTGAGTTTGATTAAGATTTTTTTTGTATTGTGATTTTATATATATATTTTATGACAAATTAAGCTGAGTTTCCCTCAATTTCTCCTGACCATAATGTATCTGAATGTCTTATATATAGAAATTCTTCTTGTACTATATTAGGAACTTCTTTACTGAAAAACATTATTTTACATTTTAATTAGTTTAACTACATTAAACGGTTTAATCAGCATAAATTTAAAAGCAAAATTTTTTATGGTGTATAATTTAAATAATATATGTTTTGGTGGGGTGTATAATAACGTAAATAAGAAAATGTTGTCTGATAATTTGTAGTTAGCCTATTAAAATGTTAAATAATTCAAATATACTTTTGAATGGCTATAATAACTAATTTAATATGTAAAATGTGAAAGAATCAATTTAACAAAAGTATTGGTATTGTCAATAATAACAGTAAAGAGATGCCATTAGACAAATTATTTAAACTATTTAACTTATTAAAATACTTTGTTGATTCAACATTTATTTAAAAATTAAATGTGCAAATATATTGATTACCAATTTTAATGATAAGTGTGAATAAGTTCATTTTTTAAAACATTTTACAATAAGGTTCCATTTGTTAACATTAGTTAACATGAACTAACAATAAAAAATTCGACTAAAGCATTTATTAATCTTAGTTAATGTTAATTTTAACCTTTACTAATACATTATTTAAAATTCATAAGCTGTCTCTGTTAATATTGTTTAATGGATCTGAGCTAACATTAACAATTGCTAATTGTTAATGTCAGCTAATGGGATCTTATTGTAAAATGTTAGCATTTTTAAAGTGATCTACAGCCGCAATCATTTTTCTTTTTCTCTAGTTGTTTAGTATGAGCTAGTAGGACCAAACAGACCATGAATGTACCATGTGAAATCATGTGACATCAGATACGAACACATACATACACAAGAACACAGACACACCCTGTGGACCCCCAGACTCTTCCCGCCATGATGCAGCCAGTAGAGGTACAGAGGTTTCCCGAATAACAGCACTGGCACCGACAGCAGAGCCAACACCACTAGAAACACCTGCAGTCCAATCTGTTTATTAACACAAGGATTAACACAAACACAGACATCAGGCAGATTGAAGGAAGTGCTCACACTAGTGTTCACAGACACACACACACACCTGGCCAGGGTAAAGGGGTGTAGTGGCGCTCTCCTGCATTAGGAACATGTTGATAAAGTGGATGAGAATGCTTGGAGCCAGCTGTGAGTCTCGCACTGAGAACGCCAGCCATTTGTAAAAGATCATGAAGACCAAGTACCCAAAGAGACAAAGTAGAAAGAGCAGCTCAGGAAGAAAGAGAAGATAGATCTTAAACTTCTGTCGGAAGTGCCTGTAAATACACAGAGAGGAAAAGAGCAGAATTTAGACAGAATGTAGTGTTTACAAGCAAGGAGAGCTTAAAGGGGTGGTTTCCATTTTTTTTTTTTTACTTTAGTTAGTGTGTAATGTTGCCGTTTGAGCATAAACAATATCTGCAAAGTTATGGCGCTGAAAGTTCAGTGCAAACAGAGATATCTCTTTTAAAATGATGGCAGTTTAATGCCTACAAAAACGGCTCGTAGGGACTACAACAAACTACTTCCCGGGTTGGTGACATCACAAACCCATGCAACAAAGGGGGTGGAGCCATGTTGCGCTGCATTAGAGAAGAGGAAGGAGTTGATGCCGTGCCGTCAAAACTAGGGGTGCACAAAAAAATCTATTCATATATGAATCGCGATTCTGTCTTTTAACGATTCTAATGGATTCACAAGTTTCAAAATCAATGTTCTAAAGCAGCGGTTCTTAATACTGTTCCTCACATCTCCTGCTCTGCATCTCTCTCTCAGATCATCAGCTCCATCAATGAAGTGTTCCAATTATACACTTTATGTGTAAAGACCACTGATTTATATATAATGACTATTATATTATAGATCAGTGGTAAAGACAGACTGATATTTTTCACATAGCTACGAGACACGCAGTTGCCGTGGTAACGAGCAATACTTGCTGGCAAACACTTCTTACCGTTACAAAAATGCTACAACGCAATCATGTATTCTGCTGTATTAAAGGTTTAATCAGGATAAAACCGTATAGTAGAAGCTAACATAAGCTGTAGCATTCACAATTAACAGCGTATCTAAAAGTATGAGACAACAACAAACAAAAAACATAGCATTCTGAAACGTCCTGTAAGGGCCGTGCTTGCTCAGGTTCTGCGCGATCCTCTTCACTAATATTCTCTGGGTCTCATTCAGGCTCAAATTGATAAGCAATATTGACGACGCCATTGTTTACAATACAACTGGAGCGCATTCTGAGGTGAGAGGCGAGACGTTTAGACACGCACTGGCGGTTTAGCTTATCACAACACACTTGGCTAGCTAACCAATCAGAGCCCATTGCGTATTTCTGAGGGAGGGGCTTCATAAAAACAGGAAATCATCAGAGCGTTCATCGGAGAAGGGACAGAGCAGTGTAGAATAAAGGTAAATTATGTGAAAAATAATGAATTTTTTTCAAATGAAGCATTAACACTAGACTGTTAGACTGCACCCCATAAACACAATCAAGCCTAGAAAAAAAACAGTCAACCACCTCTTTAATGCAGAGAGTATTTGAGTAAGGATAAATTATGCACAATTGTGCTCATGTGCTTCTAATAATTTTTTATGTGAGTCACGCAGAATGCTTTTATATGGAACTTTTCATGTGTAAATATCTATTTATACTGTGCGAAGTATGAACAGAAATATATATATGTAAAACACAAAACTGTTTCTAAAATTAATTCATTACACCAAATACACAAAATAATGTTCTTTTTAGCAGCATCATATGACCCCTTTAAATCATGAATCCAAAGCAAATGATTAAAAGATTATATGAAAAAATAAAATGATAGGACATGTACATACAACATGTACATCACAAGAAAGAAGAGATGAGCACTAAGATTGTCTTGTAACACTTTTGTATGCACTTTGGGTATTTATTTCTTACTGTTAATCACGATTAATCTCATGATTTCTGACCAGATTTTTTAAAGTAGAATGAAACAATAATAATATGTAAATGCTGTAAATGTTAAAAATGATTACATTAAACTACTAAGCATATTTAATTTAAAAACAAATAAGTAAATAATTTTTTATAACATTTTATTTATAAATAAATTATAAATACATTTATAAATCAATATGTCTGTAAAATATCTTTAAACAAATGTATAAATATACATAAATCAATATTAAATCAATATTTTTTATTATTATTATGGGTTATTATAGTTGACTGGAACTAAAATCATAAAAAATTGCTACTTGAAATAAAACAAATGCTTACTGAAATAAAGCAAAATGTATTATTTTGTTTTAGCTACATTCAACATTTCTCATTTTAATTTAGTTTAATGTGATGTACTAAAATAACATATATATATATATATATATATAAAATATAAAAATATAAAAAAATAAAAAGTACAGAAACACAAAACAAATTCACTAAAATCAAAAATTAAAATCCAAATAAGTGGAAAATATAAAAAATAAAACTAATCCGACATATCAATAAACAGATATTTAGAAACACTAAACATTCAAATAAAATTGAAGAACAGAAAATATAAAAATGAAAACAATACATCAATAAAAACTATACCATTCAAAAAAAACATTCCTCGGACCCCAGTTTGAAAATCCCTGTGCTAAATCACTTCGTGTAATAATTAGTAATAGAGCCTTCACCATTACACATATACCAAGACCTAAATAATCTGATGCTCACTCACAAGTGGTTGAAGACACTGAGCACCACCCCAAAGGTCATGTGAATGACTCCAATGATCACAGACATCTTCATCTTGTAGGAGTTGAGGAAGGTCAGGCGATTCACGGCCATGTTCCAAATCTACAGGTCAACCGAACACAACAAATTAGAGCTCTGAAACCAATATCAGTGAATTACTCTGAGCAGTAATGTATAATTTCAGGATGTGGCTTCCACCCACAGAAATGTGCTTCATAAATCTTCAGAGAGTGTGCACTCACTGGATCAATGCCCAATGGATAAGGTCCAGAGAAAACACCGGAAACGTTGGGATCCAAGGTGAGTAAAGCATTTGTTTGTAGAGTTTCATTTCTGTGCCAGAGTAAAAGGAGGAAAACAATAGTGTACAATAATTATTGTGGATCCTTAAAGGGTTAGTTCACCCAAAAATGAAAATTCTGTCATTAATTACTCACCCTCATGTCGTTCTAAACCTGTAAGAACACAATTTTACGAAGCTACGAAAATACTTTTTGTACGCAAAGAAAACAAAAATAACGACTTTTTGCGCACAAAAAGTATTCTCGTAGCTTCGTATAATTACGGTTGAACCCCTGATGTCACATGGATTATTTTACCGATCTCCTTGCTACGTTTCTGGACCATGATCGTGTAAGGATTCTTGCGGTCAATAGGAGGGTCAGAGAGCTCTCAGAATCCATCAAAAATATCTTAATTTGTGTTCCGAAGATGAACGGAGGTCTTACGGGTTTGAAACGACATGAGGGTGAGTAACTAATGACAGAATTTTCATTTTTGGGTGAACTAACCCTTTAAATAAAATAAAAATGGAATTATAGCTGCAAGCTGAAATGACGGGCCCAAGCACTATGACGGGAAAGCAATGGCATTTAAGCAGGTAAATACAAAAGGATTTTTCTCAAGGTGTTTTAGTACCATACTTCCGGCTGCCAGCTGGTGGCGCTATAACTATCAGTACTTGGACCCTAAAAAGTGCGTTTTGTGTCTTACGTCCACTCCTGCTGTGTGAACATGGCCTTGACACTCCAGGCTGAGCCAAAGATGTTGAGGGATTTGGAGAAACAGTCATTATAAATGAGTCCAGTGTATATGGAGAATAATCCCATCATCAGTATGATGTACCGCCCATCAAAAAAGGTCGTCCAGATCTGAACAGAGACAATCATTTAATCAGAAACAAAAAATGACATATTTGGATCAGCATTATGGTTAATTGTAGTTTAATTAAATTTCGTTACAACTCTGACCTCATTTCCTGGTTGTCTTCGCTTGTGGTCCTTCTCAGTCAACACCATCCACAAAGCAAAGAGAGTCATGACTGAACCATGACCAAGATCTCCGAACATCACCGCAAACAGGAAGGGAAAGGTGATAATGGTATAAGGAGCTGTGAGGGAAGGAAAGAAAAATAAAAAACTAAATTCATTAACAATCTGAAAATCATGAATATTAAGCAGCACAACTGTTTTCAGCATTGATAATAATCACAAATGTTTCTCGAGCAGCAAATCAGCATATTAGATTGATTTCTGAAGGATCATGTGACACTGAAGACTGGAGGAATGGTGCTGAAAATTCAGCTTTGATCACAGGAATAAATTACATTTCAAAATATATACAAATAGAAAAGAGTTATTTTAAATTGTAATAATATTTCACAATATCTGTTTTTACTGTATTTTTAAATGGTAGTGTATGGCTAAAGGTGAACCATATGGAACACTTTATGGAGCCTGACAGCCTCTAGTCACTGCTTTTATTGTACTGAAAAGAGCAGCATGAACATTCTTCAAAATATCTTGTTCTGTGCTCCACAGATGAAAGTCTTATAGTTTTGGAACAACATGAGGGTGAGTAAATGAAGACAACATTTTCATTTTTGGGTGAACTATTGCTTTTACTAATTTCCAGTGTAAGCCTTGTAGCTTCTCATTAAGGTTGTAAATAATAGTTGGTGTTCTGCACTCACCTGGGCTGGCCTCCCTGTAGTCGCCCACTCCATACGCTTCCACTATACTCTGGAAGCCTGAGGTAAACTTGTTGCTCCTCAAAAGTGTCGGTGGAGTGTCACTGCTTGGGATACGGTTCACAAAGGAAGGGACGGTGGCGTCACCTTTTCTCTATTAAGAAAATTAAAGGAATACATCTCCCAAAAATGAAAATTTGCTTAAAAATTCACTCGCCCTCAAGTCATTCTTTTATTGGATCAGATTTGGAGAAACGTATCATTACATCACTTGTTCACCAAAGGATCCTCTGCAGTGAATGGGTGCCGTCAGAATGAGAGTCCAAACAGCTGATAAAAACATCACAATAATCCACAAGTAATCCACCCCACTCCGGTCCATCAGTTAACATCTTATGAAGTGAAAAGCTGTGTTTGTAAGAAATAAATCCATCATTAAGCCATTTTAACTTTAAACCATTGCTTCTAGTCAAAATATAGTCCATAATCCATATATTAACGCTTCCTCCAGTGGAAAAGTCCATCCCCTGTTGTCCTCCTCTCACATCAGAATCCTGGAGTGGTGTGGATTACTTGTGGATTATTGTGATGTTTTTATCAGCTGTTTGAACTCTCATTCTGACGGCACCCATTCACTGCAGAGGATCTACTGATGAAAGTAATCCACACCACTCCGGTCCATCAGTTAACATCTTATGAAGTGAAAAGCTGTGTTTGTAAGAAATAAATCCATCATTAAGCCATTTTAACTTTAAACCATTGCTTCTAGTCAAAATATAGTCCATAATCCATATATTAACGCTTCCTCCAGTGGAAAAGTCCATCCCCTGTTGTCCTCCTCTCACATCAGAATCCTGGAGTGGTGTGGATTACTTGTGGATTATTGTGATGTTTTTATCAGCTGTTTGAACTCTCATTCTGACGGCACCCATTCACTGCAGAGGATCTACTGATGAACAAGTGATGTAATGCTAAATTTCTCCAAATCTGTTCTGATGAAGACATCTACATCTTGAATGGCCTGAGGGTGAGTACATTGACAGCAAAATTTCTTTTTTGGGTGAACTATTCTTTTTAAAGATGCTACAGTTACAGCACTTATCTCAGATTGTGTAATTGTCTCGAAGGCACATTAAAACTTCTTAATTGCTTCTCATACGTCAGTAGTTGGATCAAATCAGACTAGCGTGTAATGAGAACGATTTTACTCACTGAGCCCTCCTCCAACGCCCTCCTCAGGTTCGCCAGATTGCTGACTGGACACCACACTTCAGCGATGAGACACTTGTTGGTGACGTCAAAGCTGCAGAGGTTAAGGATGTGATAGATGGCTTTCATCTTCTTCACTTCCAGCACCCACGAGTGCGTCGACTCAGACGCCGTATGCAAGACCTGCTTCAAGTAATCCTCGGTGCGGTGCAAAACCTAATGCACAAAGATCACTTCATTAACGTTTTAATTATGACATAGCAAGATCAAATAATTATGCCAATCCTCCAGTGAATGCGGTAACGTCAGCATTATTTTGCAGAGGACAAACCGATAATCAAACCCATAAGGAGACTCTGAAGGCACTCGGGAGAAGCAGAAGACGTACGTTTTGTAAGTCTTGGATGCGTGTCCTCAAGCTGTCCATCACATCGACCCTTTCCTCATCTGTTTCAGGGTGGGGGTAGAGATGACAGTGGTAACTGTGGAAACCATAGAACAACATTCAATATGACAGACAGACTTAGGGACAGAACATGTTCACATATGCCATCTGCAAAATACTTTTATTTTGTTTTCAATAATGGTCAGTGGGCATATACTTCAAAAGGATGTCTTTAGTCGTTCCATAGCACCTTCTTGTTTCCAGTGTTTCAAAAAGATTTGATATGTTAAGAGACTTTTGACCTGTTTTCTTCTGCATGTTGGTCGCACCGCATGACTTGATGTTTTAGCAGACAAAAGTTTTTAAAATATAAACAAATCATATTTGGGTTTTTTTTTTCCTAAGAAATAATAATAATAGATTATGCCAAAATACAGGCATTTTTCTTCATTATAATATCAGGACAGTTGAATCACCACAAACTTTCAGACTCAATGCCAAAAAAAAAAAAAAGAAAAAAAAGAATTTGAATTCAGAAATTGCTCATCATAGAAAAAGTGTATTGAATTCACTGTATGTATGAGTTTGATTTTAATATAATGTAGAAGAAAATTAATAGATCCACACAAAAAATAATTTCCATTTTTTTAATGGCATTATTTTTAATAATTACTTGAATGTAATTGCTAATTACAGACTTGACAGTCTTATCATGTTAAGAATTATGTTAAATACTAAAAAAAATGAATTTGAATTCAGAAATTGCTCATCATAGAAAAAGTGTATTGAATTCACTGTATGTATGAGTTTGATTTTAATATAATGTAGAAGAAAATTAATAGATCCACACAAAAAATAAGACAAACCTGAAACACAAACATCACACGTACGTAAGGTCACAGCGGTGTGGATGTAGACCGAGACACACTGATCTGTTTAAAAGATGTAAGTGAGAGGGTCTTTGTGACTCACCCGAGTTTGGCGCCCAGTCTCTGCATGCTGGTGCAGCCTGTCACTGATTCAGTCTCCAGAGACGGGAACTCCTCATACTGAGGGCCCAGGGCTTCATGCTAAACACAGACACATCCACATTCACATAATCAATTAAGATTTAACAAATATCTGAGAGCTACAGATTGCAATCATCAAACAGAAGGTTTCTATTAACAATAATATGTGATTGACGAATATATAAGCTAAATCTAATAATCAGCCAAAATTTGGCCATTTTAAATTATTAGCATTGGCTGATAAATGTGTCCATTTGACTGAATATATGAAAGAATATATGATTGTGTTCATTCCAAAATATAACAACAGTTATGTCAACAGATAATATTTACAAATATTTTAAAGACCTTAGCAATTTTGGTTAAACTTTTTTTTTTTCCCAAAATGTCAGCAAATTTTGTTTTCGTCCTTTGTTTTCAAATTGTATTATATTACATTTTAGTGAATTCTACACAATTTATGTTATTTAAATAATAATTAAAAAATTCTACATTTCAGCTATTTTGTTCATCTATTTGCTTTTAAATTGTATTATATCAAATATATATATAAAATTATTTCAGCAATTTTTGAGCATTTCAATTGCCATCAGTGAATTTAATATATGATATCTGGCATGCTACTTTAAAGATAATGGAACTAGTCAACCACTGGTCAACATTAGGCCTACATTTTTTACAAAAGAAAGCTAACCGTGGCAAATAAGACAAACATATGGTTGAATCCAAGCTGATCTGGTCCCAGAAAATGTGGCTTGTATGTTTCTCCATCATAAGCACCATAAATGTCATGTGACTCCCAGAGTACCAAAAGCTTTGGTGCGTTTGCTCACAGTTCTCTCACAATTACAGTAGTTTAAGTCACTATACATCATGTCACACAGGCCACATTAATACTGGTGAATGGAGACTCACCCTGGAGCGGCTGTGCATGAACGTGTGTGTGATTCTCAGCATGTGCGTGTACTCCGTCAGTTCCAGCAGGTTCCGCTGGAGCTTCTCTTTATTCTTGGCCACCTCGCTGAGCTCCACCTCCAGCCTCTGCAGTTGCTCCTGACAACAGCCAATGACCTTCCATCAGTGATGTTAAAACACATCACACTTACACATTCAATATTTATAAATGCCTTCAAAACGAGACATACACCAGGTCAACAAAACTCAGCACAACATTATCCAAAACAATACTTAACACAATAAAAAAATGAGTGTACTTATCATGTGTACTACTATAAAGCAAAGCCACACATGATGAATCCACCATGCATAATCAATTCCCCCATTCACAGAAAGCTTTCTCTCCCACATTGTACACAATCAATCACTCTAGGCAACTTGACACGGTCAATTACCAGCACTGGGTCTTGACGCTGAGAACTGGAGTTCTCATATACAATCAATTACCACAAACCACGGAGCACATGGCCATCAGGCCAAAAATATATAGACTGTAATTGACTAAAACTGCATGGGAGGGAATTTTCTTCTCGTTTAGGGGTCTATAACCTTCAATACCCTTTACACACAAACATCTGTTATATGATGTAATACTTGCTGCAATTTTTCAAGGAGCATCACATTAAAGAAACTTACACTCACAATAAAAAGGTCTGAAATGTGGGTTAAATTTGCACCCACAATAAAATGTCCATTGTATATTGTCAATAGTGTAGCGATGTAAGAAACACAACTCACAGAAGTCACTTTCAAGCCAAATTAAACGTGAAATTGTTGAGATTCCTCCTACTGAAATTACTTAATTTCATCCATGAAATTACGTAAAGCAACACTAAGTAGTACTCTGCTGCTCTACATTTGCGAAATTTCGGCAAAATTTTGTAGGCAGAAAAAGTCCATTGTCAATTGACCCTTCGCAAAGACCCGAGCCCCTTTGTAACTTTTGCTATGTTCGACAAGCCATTGCGCTCACACCACACATCATGTTCTCACTCAGTGAAAAATACATCGCGGAGAAAAGAGGAAACTGACAACACGCCGTCAGACAAGACATAGCAAGTTAACTTTTGGTATGAAAAAGTCTCAGCTTTCAAATTGTTTCCTTTTTAAGAAATTCAAACAATAGATGCTGTTTTGTGGCTCTTTAATGTGTCGTGACAGATCGCTGTAGCGCCTCAGTTCAAGTAGAATGTGAACCGATCATCTATTCTTTTTTACTAGTTATAGCACAAAATAACATGAATGAACATCAAAAGGTGTCTTGTTTCAACCAAGAAAAGACGTCAATACACACCATTTTTCAAGTTTGTTGGACAAAATGGCAGATTCGACATTATGATTGGTCAGATCGCCTGTCAGTCAAACTCCCTGTGAAGAGTCAATTGTCAGTAGTGTAGTGTGATGTATGAAGCACAACTCAACTAGAAGTCACTTTCAAGCCAAATTGAACTTCTGAAAACTGTGTGGGGAAATGTTTCACCATAAAGTGAAATTGCCCGGATTTCTATTAAATGACTGGATTTCACCCACAAAATTCCATAGAGTAGCCGTAAACAGTACTCTGCTGCTCTACATTTACTGTTGTTGTTGCAGAAAAGGTCCACTAGTAATTGTCAATAGTGTAGCGATGTATGAGGCACAAATCACTTTCACAGACTTTTACATTAAAGGGTTAGTTCACCCAAAAATGAAAATTCTGTCATTAATTACTCACCCTCATGTCGTTTTAAACCCGTAAGACCTTTGTTCATCTTCGGAACACAATTTAAGATATTTTTGATGGAATCTGAGAGCTGTCTGACCCTCCATAGGCAGCAACGCAACTGAAATGTTCAACAAGTCCTGAAACGTAGCAAGGGGATCTGTAAAATAATCCATGTGACATCAGTGGTTCATCCGCAATTAATACGAAGCTACGAGAATACTTTTTGTGCGCAAAAGAAAAACCCCCCGACTTTATTCAACAATTCGTGTCCTCCGCATCACCCTGGTGCCATTTTGGAGAGTATATAAAATTAAGGTTGAACCACTGATGTCACATGGACTATTTTAAACGATGTCCTTACTACATTTCTGGGCATTGAATGTGGTAGTTGCATTACTGTCTATACAGGGTCAGAGAGCTCTCGGATTTCATCAAAAATATCTTAATTTGTGTTCTGAAGATGAACCAAGGTCTTACAGGTTTCCTCGTGACGCAGCTGACACAGAACAGCATACGCTGTTTACGTCCAGCTTATATTCTCCAAAATGGCACCAGGGTGATGCAGAAAATCTTTGGGGAAATCTTTCACTATACTCTTGTGAGCGCGTGTCAAAGACTGACACGGAAAAGAAGAAATTGTTGAATTAAGTCATTATTTTTGTTTTCTTTGTGCACAAAAATATTCTCGTAGATTCATAAAATTAAGGTTGAACCACTGATGTCACATGGACTATTTTAAACGATGTCCTTACTACATTTCTGGGCATTGAATGTGGTAGTTGCATTACTGTCTATACAGGGTCAGAGAGCTCTCGGATTTCATCAAAAATATCTTAATTTGTGTTCTGAAGATGAACCAAGGTCTTACAGGTTTGAAACGGCATGAGGGTGAGTAATTAATGACAGAATTTTCATTTTTTGGGGTAAACTATCCCTTTAATTTTGCTTAAAGAGAACTCAGACCCAAGACAGTATTTATGGAAACTAGAAAAAGTCTGTTTGGCACATTTACCTTGCTTAATAAAGCAGCCAATATCAGTATATCTCAGCACCTACCATGATTTCTAAGACATTTTTGGGTGCAGGAGCAACAGGAGGGACTTCAGCCTCTGGCACTGCAAGATTAAACTTCCTGATTTCCCTCAGCAGATACCCTATAGGTGATGGAAACAAAGAAATTGAGTTTTAAACATTGATTCAAGAGCACACAGAAACATAACAGTGAGAGAAGCATAACAATGCAAACACATCAGAACAAAGTCTATTCTAATATACAAAAATAGTCTGTTCTGTGCTTGTTTCTTATGTTACTCCAGCAAAACTCCATCGTAATTATACTATTTTTGATCTTTTGATTCTAACTTTGTCGTCTGTGTAACATACCTCTAAGGCTAAGATGGAAACGTATCGCAAAATGAAGAAAGTAATTGTAGCTAATATTTAGCACCAGATTTTGAAGTTCAAAGATCCTCAGCAGGAGAGGTTTAGGCTTGACCTAAAATTTACAGAGTGTTCAATAAAGATCTCTTACCCAGAATCCTCTCCATCTCCTCACATCTCTTGATCTCACTGACGAAGCGGCGCTGGAAGGAGCTGACGCTGGGGTTCAGCTGGAACAGGTCATCAGATTATGACTTGTATGTTTGACACAACAACATATTACAATCGAGAGACAACAAGACAAGGCTGTGGGCATTTTAATCAGATGATATTTGGTCAATGTTCAGATTTCAGCATTGCATAATAATCGGGTCTGCTTGGCTGATCAACAGACATTAGTCTCCTCATGTAAAGTCGACTGACAGCTTTGTCACTGCAATAAATGAGGAATGGAGCTTACAGCTTCAAAAAGGAGAAAAATCAACATAGAATCAACATAAAACTGGTTTATAAGACTCATGCACTATATTTCAAGCACTTATATTTATATTTTATTTCATTCTAGCTTCACTTCAGTTGACAATGACTTTTAATAGTTTAGTTAACAATAACAACAAGGCTTAGGACCCGTGACTGGTCCAACATTTTGTATTCATTTTAAATGTATGCTGCATGCCAAAAAATTTAATTCATAGAAAACTGTCCAACAAAATCTCAAAATTGATTTGTCAGCTGCCCTTACTGATGCCAACCTAAACAGTAGGTCACACACATATGTGACCAACACATACATAGCCCATGAAGTCGTTAATGAGTGTCAAACAACCTCAGGGTGAATAGAAAACACAGGCTTTTAAACAGACTTGCTCTATTTTTCAAGCAAGCAATTGATCCAGCTCAGCGTTAACCAGGACATTAACCTGGCTGGAATACATCAGCCTCCCTGTATGACCAGGACAAAATGTGCACACATGTGAGATTCAACATGCATTTAATTCAATCCGTTTCACACCTATAAGCGACACGCAGCAAACAAACATGGCTTGCCAGGTAATGCCGATAATTTACACTCAATTTACTTCAATCTGCCCTGAGAATTCAGGCTGTGGCTCAAAATCTACCTAGACAGCATTTTTGGGGCATCAGGTGCACGCAGCATCGGTGACTCGGAACCTGTTTTTATACAGTCTATGCTCGGAACGCGCCTATGATGCCCCAGAAATGCTGTCTAGCTAGGCAGCTCACTAAGATTTGATACACACCCGTTGAGTTCAAACTTACATCTCGAAATTCAACCAGCCCCATTTCTCCGAGTTCGCTGATGCAGTCGTACGCCGAACCGGACTGCAGGAACAGCTGCGCCAAACACATCTCCTCACTCCGAAAGCCCATCTTCTGTCTCCTCTCTCGGCCACCTTGATCACTCAATCCGCCTCTGGCCTTTGCGATTCACTTTAATACAGCGCGACCAACCTGCCGCGAGCGTCAAGTGTTCAACACAAAAATTCGATCTCAATACATTTCCATTTGACTATAAACTGACTTGTTAGCGCGCATTATGAATTATTGAAGATTTGATGTCTGATTGAGCCAGGATGAGATTAAACTGTACCGAAAATCATTAACCTATAAATGCTATTTTTAGCAACCTAGTGAGTATTCGCAGCATTATCATGCAGATTATGCAAATACTACAAAATAAGCTGCAGAGGTAACGTTAATATTCACTGTGTCTTACCTAGCTGGCAGGACAATAATAATCGATAGGCGTCTGTACCTTTAATTGCCGTCTTGCCATTGAAACGACAGAAATAACGTAAGAGATTAAAGGCTACTGAAGGGATGTTGCCAAACAAACAGCTAAACGCTATGCAGCCTTAAAAACGTACATGTACAATGAAGGCTTGGTGTTTAAATAGATCGCATAATAAAAAGATCACTCCCGTAAAGCACAAACCCTGCCGGTGTACAGATTGCGCCCGTGGGTTGCCAGATACTTTGTCAGCAAATCCCCCTTTCCTCTATTTAGCACGTTTTAAACAGACATTTAAAAAACAAAATGTTTGTAAAAATAGAAACATAGCATGAATATATATATATATATATATATATATTATGATAATGTGCATTCATGAAAGACTACCGACCATTTAACAAAATAAAACACATTCACAACTTCACCTTTTTTTTTTTTTTTAAGTTCTGCAATTAGCCTCTATGCCTACGGAGTGATTTAAAAACTTAATAAATATAAAGAAATTAATATTAATTAAATAAACATAACATATAAAAAAATAAACGAAAAATTCGAGTATTTAACACCTTATTTCATTATACTTGTATTAATGTCAGCATTCAGCATCATGTTCATGATGTATTTAATAATTACATTGTGTTTTATTTAGTGTTTTTATTAGTTTTATTTAGAGTGTTAAATAACTCCATATTCCATTAACTTACACTATATTTAATAAAATTATAATGACTTAATTATGAAATTTGAAATAACAAGAACAGCTATTCTACAAATCCATAACAAACCCATGGCTTGCAAATATTTTATCTGCTTAAAGGTCCACTCAAAAGGTCAAAAAGGTCATTTTTGTATGTTGCACTGGCTGTCTTAAAAATCTGTAATAAATAAAGAAATAAAAATGATAAAGAAATAAAAATGATAAAGGCTCATTTAAAATGCTATATAAATGCTATTAAATTGAGTTGATAACAAAAATTATAACAACAATATATCCTAAATCCTAAATGTCTTTATTGCTTAGTAAACAAGTTTGTATGGTAAGCGTTTTTCTGCAATCTGGCAACCACATCATCATTTAATATATTCTGTGCCATATTCTTCTAGACCAGAGGCAGGCCATCTGCCTGTCCTTTGTTTAAATGCCTGAAAATTAAAAGATTTACAAGGCAAAACAAGACTTTGTTAACGGTTCTTAAATAATAAAAACCAACTCTCAGTGAAATATAATGTTTTCAGCAGAACAAGTTATAGCAGATAGATACAATGAGATTGTAATGGTCCTCATGTGACAGTGACGTCATATAACCCACTAGCCTCCACCTCATTGTATATTTATGCAAGTACGTTTATATAGTGCACCACAAACTTAGTAACTTTTTTTAGGTTCCAGGTAAATGTCCTTCTCAAAGCAAATGCAGATATTCAAAAAAAAAGCCAAACTGTCATGAAAAAGTGCATCCAAAAGTAATGTTTCTTTATGCAATATATGCAAAATGCCTGACAGAATTGAATGTGGCCCAGCCCTAATCATTTCACATCACTTAATAAGAATACAAAAACATAACAATAGAAATAATTTACTATAAAGGTGCATATGAAGATGATAAATTCACCATGTTTACTTAAAATCTCAGCAGTTATTTAGGTCATAATGGTTCAGCTTACAAAACAGGTTGGGAACCTATCATTAAGTGGAGCATGGGAGTATCATGAACATTAGGGTTTTCACTCATGGGTCCATGAAGATGCTCAAAAAAGACACAAAGCATAAAGAAGTAGAAATAGAGACATTAGCAGTAAACAGAAATACTAGTAGAAATAGAACATAATCAGCTGTCTGATAATTATTATATGCTTATTATTATTATTATTTTATATACTTATCTTGCTGGATCTGTCCGCTGCTTTTGACACGGTTAACCACCAGATCCATGCTTCACAACTCCTTGTTCAAGCTCTTGTTCTGTCCAGGCTGGACTATTGCAATGCTCTCTTGGCTGGTCTTCCAGCCAGTTCTATCAAACATTTACAATTAATCCAGAACGGCAGCTAGATAAATTTTTAATGAGCCAAAAAGAATGCACGTCACACCTCGGTTTATCGCGGCTAAAAACACATCTCTTCCATCTTTATTTGACCCTCTAACTCGCACTCTCTATTCTAATTCTATTCTTAAAATTTTTATTTATTATATTATTTAAAAAACCCTTGCTATGTGTGCTGCGTTAAGCTAACTGAGACTTGTTATAGCACTTGCATATAATTGCTCTTTTGTTGGTTTTGATTACTTCTATTGTCCTCATTTGTAAGTCGCTTTGGATAAAAGCGTCTGCTAAATGACTAAATGTAAATGTAAATATGCAATATGTTGATAATACTAAGCATAAAAGTTAAAACAAAAAGAGAGCAAACCGACTTATTTATGTAGGGCCGACTGCGACTACAGCAAAGAAAATGTCAGAGCAGTGACCCTGATTTGAGGTAAATTTGGATATGAATACCCCCACCAAAAAAAAGAAAGAGAAACATTCCAATTTTAACAATCTCGATTTTTTAATAATGTACCAAATGAGAGGGTAACCTGTATAATTTACAGTTTCCTTAAAAAATTGGCATGTACCTGAAATACTTAATAAAACATAGAAGTTAATTTCTGATTATCTTAGAAACCAGCCATTATTGGCACTTCATTTTTTTTTATTTGGGGAAAATTTTATTTGTTGAAACAGTAAACATCAAAAGTTATGGTTATTACTTATTGGTAAGTTAACCAAAGGGGTAATCAGAAAATAGTAGATAATCGTTAGATTAATCAACTAATCCAAATAAATAAATAGGGGGGAATTATTGATGACTAATCATTAATAGCAGCACTAAATTTATATGAATCTAGAGATGAATCTTGATCAGTATTTTTTCTGTAATAAAAACATTTTGGAAAAAAAAACAGTGTTTTGCTTTTTTAACTTAATGACATGGTTGCTTTATTGAAAGAAGAGGAACAATATTCTCTACATTAATTTATTACTTGAACAATAATTTTTGCCTGACATCATGCCTGACGATTTAAAACAAAATCCTCATAATTTACAGTGTCACAAAAAACAATTAATTTTAATATTGAACACCTTTTAATTTTCATTATTTTCCTAAGACAATTAATTTTTTATTTGACACTTCAAAAGTGTCTTAATCACATACCAGCTTGAAATAAACCTGACTGAAAGCCATTTAGTGAGGTGCTCAGATCAGAGAAGTCTACGTCATCGGAGGTTTTGCGCGAGTCTGTTGAGCTCCTGTGAGAGGCCAGTGACGGTGTCGAGGATCCTCTGTCTATCAGACTCCTGCAGACGGCCTCCACAGCGTTGGACAAACTTGTCTGGGTGCCAGACGGCCTGCTGACGACGGAGCACCTTCCGAAAAACAGTCGAATCAGATCGATCAGCACCGTGCAACATAACACCCACCATTTCCTCCAGCGAACCGCGAGGAGCGGGCCAAGGGATGTCGTCGTATCCCAGCAGTCCTTCAGGCCCTTTGCTCGAGGAGCAGTGAAACGTGGTGGCACAGCGCTCCTCATAGCGCCTCTTCCTCCCCTGCCGCGTCTCCTCCTCCTTACGAGCTGCACGCTGCAGGTACTCCTCATGCTCCCGCTCCAGCCTGGCTCTCAGCTCCCTACGACTCCTCTCATCCTCCTCCGTCTCCTTCCGCCGCTTCGACCTCTTCTGACCCGAAGAAGCCGCTTCCCTCTGTTCTTTGGCCCGTTGCTTGGCAAAATACTCCCGTCTGATCCGATCCGCCCAGTCTCCGAAGTCTACCTCGTCGTCTTTATCATCCCATACAAAGTCATCTGGAGCGAACAGGACATATTCATACAATATACTGTAGCCTCAGCTTTGGACGGTCCACCTGTGGAGGACCAGTCCATTCACTGACTGTCTGATGCTTATTGCTCACTTTATTGATCTGGCAAGCTTGAATCTGATTGGCTGGCATTGCACAGCCTGCTGCATTCAAGGGTCTGAATACATAATGGTCAATGGCACTCTTTTAAAATAACAATAATAATAATAATAAAAAGTAATTAAAGTAATTAACTTAAATATTAAAAATTTTTGCTAATTATAATTTAGATAATTTAGTATTGTACAAAAATACAATAAAAATGTAATTTATACAAACATTGACTTAAATACTCCTCGTCTATGATGAGCATGTTTTTTTTAATTTCTGTATTCAATTATTTCTGTATTAATTAGATTGTAATATAATATATTTTATATATAGAGTTATACATAATCTTATATATTTTGGAGGCCATGAAATCAAAATTATCAGGGTGAAGAAGTATAATGGAAAACAAATTAAATCTAAAGGAGTAATTTTAGTACTTTGGAAAAATTGTTTATTAGTATATCTTAAAAAAAAACAATCATTAAAACTGCTTGACTCCTTATTAATATTTGAAAGTCTTCTTTCCACAAAATTAAAGTCAAGTGGTACAACCAAAATGTGATATAGAGAGGACCACTGTAGACCTTAATAATAATAATTCATAATATTTGTTTAAAAATAATTTTCTAATTATATTTAAAAACTACAAAATGTACACTCATGTATTCAAGGTCTAAAGAAAATATGTATTTTATACTTGATGGTTACACCACATGACATTTTTAGAAATCGAAACTTATATTCAAAAAATTATTGACGTTTTTTTTTTTTTACCAACACGAATACATAGAGTACATTTCTAAGAACTTGACACGTGTCAAACAAGATTTTTAAAATAATCTCAATTTTCTTTAACTGATAAATCTATGTATTATTTTACAATAGACTCTATTGCGTGGAATAGCCAGCTATTACAAAAAATATAATAGTAATAGCGCAGGATGTTCAAGCTTACCATCATACTGTCCGAATGTCTCAAAAAACTCATCCTGACATTCACCTAACAGCTTCTCTCTCCATTGTTTCTCTGGATCAACATGCGAGGATTCATTTTTGATGTTCCCCTGTTTCAGTTAAATTAACATGAGACATATTATTAACTTCAAGATGCATAACTAAAAATGACAGCACCATCTGTTGAACCTGTCCTTAATATAACCAAATAATTATTAGTTTAATAGTTTAGACTGAAAGAGTCTCTATTTTCACAGCACCTGCTCAGGCTTCATCCACTGGAGCAGGTCATGAGGAGTCACTCCTGCTTTATTAGAAATATCCATGGCTTCTGGACAGTTT